AAGGTCAAATCCCAAAAAAATGTTTTGCCCCTTGTTGTTGGCTATTCTCCTTCGGTCAATCCAGTGATTAACAAAACTAAATCTTTATTCAATTCGATTCTAAGTAAGAACAATGTTTTTACAAACAAACCAGTCTACGGCTATCGCCGTGCCCCAAATTTGAAACAACTTTTAGTCCGATCTCAATTAAAACCAATTTCTGACCCCATCTCCAATGCGGTATCCAAGTTTGGTACCTTCCCCTGTCTCAGATCTCGCTGTAAGACCTGTAACTTTGTAACTCAACAACCCACCTTAAAATGCAATAATTTCGGTTTTAAAATCAAAACGACTTTTTCATGTGTTAGCTCGTGCTTAATTTACGCCATTACGTGCAAAAAATGTACAGATACTATTTATATTGGTCAAACTAGTCGTAAACTTTCGGATCGCTTTCGTGAGCATTTATTATCTATTCGTAATGATTCTCATACCACTGTCTCTGATCATTTTGTTTTAAATCATAATACTGATGATATCCAAATCACTGCATTATTACACGCCCCAGTCGATGAAAACAGTAGATTACATTTAGAAAATAAGATTATTTTCCTGTTCAAATCTAATAAGCCCCCTGGCTTAAATGTTAATTTTTCCTTTCTTCCTAAATAATTTTAGTCTTCTCTTTCACCCTCAAGGCGGTTTGCATTGCCGACGGGCGTCTGGGCGACCCCGAGGTTCCTGAGCCTAAACCGTTACGTGCTTAACGGTTGTCTTCCTCCTATCTTACAATACTTTTTTACTCCTTCAGTCTTTTCCTTTCCTCTTTTTTTCCCCATTCACCCACAAACCACCATGTGAAGCAATCCTCTTCGTCGTCCTGAAGAAGACCCTTTGAGGTGGAAACGTTGACAAAAAGGCCTAATCCGGACCCCTTCAAGTCTACAAGTGAGCCCTTATCCTTTCACTTTTCCAAATTAATTCGTTGTGCCAATTAAAATTCATCGTTAAGATTTGATACGCAATAAAATGTGAAATTGATTGGTTCTACTATATTTATTTATTTTTATTATTAAATTGTTAAAGAGCCAAATTGACAGTTATTTTAACCATTTTCGATTTATTTATGTATCTAATATTGATTTAATTGATTATTTGATTTAAAAAGAATTCAATAAAAATTGCTGGTTTGTGTGCCATATTCGATATTTTGGTAAATTCAACTCAACGTAATTGTATTTAGGTGAATTCTTAATTTTAGTTTATGTTCGAAACCTTCATAGTGCGTTTTTTTTTGTTTTTTGGACACTTACCATCATAGTTTAACTTCAGGGTATTCTGATTCAGGGTTTTATTAGGTCGGATTTTTGGGCTTTAATGGCTTTCATTTGGTTTTAGCTACCATTGAACCTTTTTTCAAACTACACCGGGATTGTCCAGCGAGTGATACTAAAAAATCATGCCAAAAATTGATACCCATATTTATGTTATTAAATTAATAGTATTATTAATAGTTTATTAATAGTCTTTCGTTATTAAATTGTACCCATCAAGGTCGATAATTGAGTGCAATAAAAATTTAAGTAGGATGACACCAACTCTGTAAAATTACATTTTCATGAATGCTAATCTTTATTATAGGTTGAAACACTCTTAAGCCCAGCTCTCTCCCATACCTGTTCAAAAAAAACTTTTTTCATTCAAAGTTCAGTCATCCCAATTTCTGACGGAAGATTTTCATTTACATTCAATCATTTTCCTTCAAATTCAGAGTGACCAAATAATCAATTAAATCAATATATTAAATACATAAATAAGTGGAAAATAATAAATTTGAGTCTTTTCTAAGCTTTTCGATTTTCCATCCATATCAATACCGCAGATATAATAATAATAGTTTATTCCCTTTGCATTAAAAGAAGATCATTTATATTATGAAATTCAGGAGATACGAAAATGTCTTCAGGAAATTCAGGAAATTTATGAAGAATCAAGACTAGAACAGAGTACGTCCAGAATTTGAACAGTGATTTCAATAAAAATTACCGGTTTGTGCGCCGTATTAGATTTTTTGCAAATTCTACTGAGCGTATTTATATTTACATATTGCGTATTTATATTTATGTAGGTGAATTCTTCTTCTGGCTTAAATTTCCGCCGAAAGAAGGAAATGCATTCTTTAATAAACAAACATGAAATTTCAATTCTCTATAAAATATGGGTTCGCTGCAAGATAGTAAAATAACAAGATATAATATCTTTGCTTGATTTCGTTGGAAATTGTTTCATGTTAAACTCAGACAGTGAAATTATTTATTCGAAATTAGATTTGTTTCACAAAGTCCACAGAAGTAGAGGGGTAATAATATATTATCATATATTTGCAAAAATATTGTTGCAAATAGGTAAAATAAAATCAGTATATTTGAAAGCAAAATTTAACCGATCTATAAAATGAAGATTTTCTAAAACGTAGCAAAATTTACAAGTTCAATTAACTTTAGGTAATTTTTTTAGAAATAGTTTCACAATACCTGAAGCACATTTGCAACATATACTTGATTTGCTTAAGATTCGTATTTTGACGTCATAATTAATCAATTTGATATAAAATTCTTTTGTACGCATGTGCAACCCAATAATAGCTTAAAAGTAGCCAAAAAGTAGCCCAAAAGTAGCCCAAAAAGTTCCTTTGGACGTTCAAAACAAAACACTGCGTGTACTTGTTCGTGTTCATGAATATTTGCTTAACTTGGTAACATTGTAAACTCCCGAAATTCTGAAGAGTTACAAAATTTTACCAGTATTTCAAGGGAAAATTAGTTACAAATTTCTGTAAACTGCTCAGATTAAGGGCGCCTCTTTATTTTGTAATCGTTTGCAACATTATTTTACAAAACTTACGGAGTTTACAAGTTATTAATATCAATGACTGGGAGAATTGCCTCAATAAAATTGTGAACAAATTATATATCCTCGTTTATAAGGTGGTGGAACCCATTAATTTTACATCTATTCAGGTATAAAATCGTAATAATGAATTTTAATTGGAGCAAAATATTAGTTGATGTTAATTTATAAAAAATTTTAATAACATTATACCTGGACAACTATTTCATCTTCAATTTATTATTTATAATCTGAATTTTGTAAATTATTCTCACGGCGCTAATGACCATCTAATCTATCATGTTAAGAAAATGAAGAAACTGGACTTCGTTCATCTGTCAAAATGCGTAAAAAAGAGCATACCATCGAAATCAAATAATATTACGATTTCATCCCTAATGTGAGAAATTAATCGGTTTCATCTATCATATTAACCAGGATAAATGTTCGTACAATTTAATCATAAAATTGTTACCCTCCCAAGACGATAATCTAATTTTAGAAAGTTGAGTGCCTTAATATGTTACTTAGATGTAGTAACGTCAACTTGTCTTTATATTAAATTTCTTGGTGAAACTCGGGCTCAAATTGAGATAAAACTTGGCAAATTTAAAAAACATTGAAGCTTGGCAAATATTTGCTTAAAACAGTACACGATTTTTGTGATAAAATTTATTTGCCAGAAGAAAATGCGATACAATGAGCGACATATATTGGGAGAAAGTTTTTCTCTAGAATTAATTGGCTCTAAAAAGTATTTGAGGTAAAAGAAGTATGAAGTTTTGTTAAAAAATAAATGCGGTTTGAAATAAAATAGAATGATTTTAAGGCCAAATTTAATATCGTGTGGTGGTTAATTAAAATAATATATTATTTTGTAGGTACAGGAGGGTTTTCTTTCCATAGTTTATCTGTACATATTTGTTGAACTTATTATTAATTTGTTCAAAATTAATTTTCATATTTACAATTCGTAAAATAAATGACATTTTTTTCTTTCGATTTCATAAAAGCATATGCGCCTCGACAATTCCAATAATAATACAACGACGAATTTCATTGCATTTTATTTTTTATGGCTTTGTTCAATATTTTAACCAACCGACCCAACCGTAATGGCTTTTTGATCAAGTATAACATAAAATTTGATTTTTATTCAACGTTCAATTTTTACTTTTGCAAGTTTTAGTATCGTGAAGAACAAACATGACAAAATTAATGTAAAAATCATTCAGAAAACGAAAATCCAAAAATTGTAATCAAACTTTCACCCGTGAAATACTATTGGATGTATTATTACACATCTCCTTGTTTTTTGTAGACTCATATTGACCATTATGTAATACTTACATAACATATTTGTGATGCAATTCCGCCCCGTATTTCGTGTGGTGATTCAGACTGGAATCAGGGTTTCTACGCGTCTCCTATTCTTCACATTCATTGTAAAGCAATATCTGAAATTAACCTCTTCATAATTTTTTTCTGAAAGAACTACAAAAATAAGTCTTTTCTGTCCTTTACTATTTTCCTAAATAAGAAATGTCTGCAATAAAAGCTCAATAATTGCAAATTGCAATTTGAAATATTACATTTAACATAGTAATATTAATATTTTGAGGTTTTGTAACAGGTCATCTTTTGGGAAAATAGTAAAGGACACAAATTATTTTTTGTTCTTCAGGAAAAAAATTATGATTAGACTAATTTCAGATATGTCTTTAGCATGTATTGTGAAGCATATGATGAGCATACCCCGGACAAATATTTTTTTATCCTACCCTACTCGTGTTGAGCTCAACATGAGTAGGGTAGGATAAAAAAATATTTTTCCGGGGTATGATGATGAGACGCGAAGAAACCCTGACTGGAATGCTGAGGCAGAATAAACAACAATGGTTATATAAGTCTGGATATGTTAGGCTAGGTTAGGATCCTGGACCCAAATCCAGATTTGTCCACACGTACGTACATTTCATTTCGTACTCACTCACTCAGCTGCTGGCCAACAACATACAGATTTTTGATCAAAACAGTGTCGCAAATTTACTTATAATTTATATATTTGGTCAAATTCGCCATGATTTCAATCGCCACCATCCTCCTCATCCTTACCATCATCCTCACCACCTTCTACGTGTATTCCGTCACCAAAGAAATCTTATATTTCCGCTCCAAAAAAAATCCTCTGGATCGGAAACATTTTCAGTTTCAATTACCTCTTCAAGAAAAACGGGAGGCTCGCCATCATTCAAGAAAGTTACGCCAAAATGCGCCAAGCAGGCGTGCCCGTCGCCGGAAAAACCGTGATGGGTGCGACGAACTACTACGTCACGGATTTGACCGTGTTGAAACACATTTTCGTCAAGGATTTCGACCATTTTGTGAACCGTCGCTTCCAAATGCCGAGCAATGACGTGCTTGTCAACAAAATGCTGATTTTCCTCCATGACGAACAGTGGAAAGGGTTGAGGTCAAAGTTATCGCCGACCTTTACGACAGGCAAGATTAAACGGCTCTTCCCCCTCTTTAACGACAGTGCAAAAAAGTTGGTCGCCTACGTCGACGAGCGGATGGCGGAGTCGCCCCATGGCGAAATCGACTTGGGCGACGGATACTCCAAATTCACCATGGACACGATCGCCTCGGCCGTTTGTGGGATGAATTCGCACGCTTTTGACCAGCTGGACCCCTCACTTTTTGAACTGATGGGGAAAAAATTACAAATTCAGTTTACCGTGAAGAACTTTTTCAAGTTTTTGATAGTGTTTGGACTTCCCAAAGTTTCCGAGTGGTTTGGGATTACAATGTTTGAGGAAAATATGCACAAGTTTTTTAACGATGGGATTAAATCTGTGATTAAAGAGAGGATTTCGGAGGGGCGGAAGGGGAACGATTTTATCCAGTTGATGATGGAGGCGAGGGAGAATAAGTTGGTGAAAGAGGAGGAAAGTGAGTTGGAGAGGTTTGAGAGGGATGCAATTATCAAGGGGGAGGTCAAAGGTCAAGGGATCGACGAAGCGTTGGATGATGATGGGATCGTGTCGAATTGTGTGCTTTTTATCTTGGCTGGATTTGATACGACGCAGTCACTGTTGCTCTTTTGTGTTTATGCGTTGGCGATTTATCCAGAGATTCAGGATAAGTTGAGGAAAGAAGTGGAAACCGTTTTGGAGGAAGGTGATGGGGATTTTACGTATGATTCGGTGCATAAAATGGGATATCTGGATATGGTGATACATGGTGAGTAATTAGAATTTTAAAATTCTAAATGTGTATTTATGTATGTATTGTTTGGAGGCATATTAATTCACGCAGTTCTTTGAAGCTCGTAAAATCCGCAAATTTTGGAAAAATTATTTTTCAAACTTTTACAAAATAAAAAGACGCCCTTGGTGTGAGTAAGTTTACAAAAATACGTTTTTGTAAACTTACTCAAAATTCAAATTCAAAATTTTGTAAATGTTTGCAAGTTCACGGAATTTACGGATTTTAAAATGTTACCAGGTCCTCGCTACGATTTATATAATGCTAACAATTATATTTACAAATGGCCATTTTTTAAATTTATATGATTGAATCACATTTTTACAGAAACTTTGAGATTTTACCCACCACAACCGGTCACTGATAGAGCTTGCAATCAAGACTATTTGCTCCCCGGTACCGGTGTCACGATCTCCAAGAAAGAAGCCATACTTGTCCCCATAATTGGAATCCATCACGACGAACGGTACTATCCCGAACCCGAAAAGTTCGATCCGGAACGATTTTCACCCGAAAATAAGGGAAAACTTAACCAGTTCGCTTTCCTCCCGTTTGGACAAGGGCCTCGGAATTGCATTGGTGAGTGAAATAAAATTAAATAAGAATTTTTCAAAAAGACTTTCAAGTTTCTTCAATTTCATTATTCCTAAATTATTTGACCTAATTTTGAATTTTAATTATTTTTAAAGATACAAATTTAAAAAATGGATTTTAACTTCGACACTGCGACAATTCACGCAACTAACTTTGTAAAATTCATAAATTCTGTACACTTATACAAACATTTTGAAGGAAAATTAGCCCACAAATTTTTGGAAACTAACTCCGATCAAAGACGTCTTTTTCTTGCTTGTAAAATGTTTGTTAACTTATTTTGCTAACAAATTTACTCATTTTACAAAGTTACCAAGCACTGCGTTAATTGAATAGCTAATAATTGAATAACAGTTGACTAATTATTTGCAAAATTAAGATTTATAAAAATTCATGGTTTTTTCGGGGATGAGATTTGCCTTGACCGAAGTGAAGCTAGTGATTGCCCAACTCGTTCACAATTTTGAAATTGAACCCTCCAAAAGGACGCTAATTCCGATGGAGTATCAAAACGGAGCATCTCTCAAACCAAAGGGGGGCATGTGGTTGGCCCTCAAACGAAGACCTGGCACAATTGCGACCTGAATATGCAGACACTTTCCATGCATTTAGTCAAATTTTACCTGATTTAATTTTGAATGCAATTAATAAATATACAAATACAGACTTAATTTAGTATACGAAAAATAAGTATGTAAGTTTCGATTTTTACGTTATAGTTTCTTAAATTTCCTACTTACTTGTCTAAAAGTCTCGTGAATAAAAATAATTATTTTATTGAATTCTTCATTTGACTTATAAAATTTGTTCTAAACTCAAATTTGCGTCGCTGAGTTCTCTTTGCAAAAAAAACATCTTGAAAATTGTGTCATTTCAACTTTAATTGCATATAAATGATACGTTTTTTTATTTAAAATCCTAAAATTTTGGGTTGTAGATATGTACATTATTTTAAGAGGTAGTTTGCCACCAAAACCCTAATTCAAAAATAACTTTAGGAGGCAGATATCCATGAAGGGTACTTCTGAAATATTTGGAGGGTACTTCCCATTTAATTGGAGAGGCTTTAAATGCATGCCATTTATAAATCTGATGTATCCCTGCAGCTTCATGCAAAATTTCACCTTTCTGTTTGAGAAACAAAAAAATGGTCAATAAGCAAAAACAGAATTAGATTATTTTTCTTATTATTTTACAAAATAGATGGTTCAAAATTCAAATCCAGTGCACAATTTTCTACTCGCAAAACCTTTACGCAACTCACTCAGCAAACCTGTTCTCGGCCAAATTTTAAATTTCGAAAAAATAAGAACCCTAATATTATGTAACTTTAACTTTAACTTTAATTAACCAAAAAATATGTTATCCGAATTATCCATACCACTTAAATCATTTGCAGTGAGACAAGTGTAATCAAACCTTTAAATAACATGTTAATATCCCAAACTTCGTAACTTACAAGGGAAGGTCCCCGACTGCTTATCGTGTCCAGGGTACCCACTATGTTTTTTAGAATCTACTAGGACACCAGATGAAGGATTCATTCATATTTCCGTGTAAAACTCATATTTGGCGTCATGGTATAGCCCCAAACTTAAAAATTTGCATTTTCGACCAATTTCAAACCCTCATAACTTTTGCAGTTTATGTCGGATTTTCAAAATTTTATGCTTAAAATGATCACAAAAGTCGAAATTTTTGAGAAAAAATAAAAATACAAAATTCCTAATTTTTGAGATATTTTTAGCATTTTTCCGACGAACCCCCATTTCTAACAAAATTACGAAATTTTGCGAAAAGTTAAAAGTGATAATTTTGGAAAAAATTTCATGGAATACGAAAGTTCAACTCCTTGTCATGATTTTTGCCAAACATTTTTAAAATCCGTCTAGGATTTCAAAAGCTATGGCGGTTTCAAAAATAAAAACATTGAAATTTGGCAAATTTGGCGCCACGCCATGGCGCCAAATATGAGTTTTACACGGAAATATGAATGAATCCTTCATCTGGGGCCCTAGTAGATTCAAAAAAGCATAGTGGGTACCCTGGACACGGTAAGCAGTCGGGGACCTTCCCTTGTTAGTAAATTTGGCGTTAATAACTAACACGATAAGAAAATTGAAAAACTGCAGTTTGTTCATCTTCAAAATGTGTAAAAATCAGTCTAAAAATAGAGCATACCGTCGAAATAAAATATACAAGAACATTACGATTTCATACCTAAAATGTGAAATTACCATATCAACGAGGATAAATGTTATTATAATTTTACCATGGAACTGTTACCCATTGAAGTCAATAATTTAATTTGTACAAATTATGAAAATTATTATTGACAATTATTAAAAGGTAAGATATCAGTACCGGGAAAATGATGCAAGTTTTATTTTTGAGAAAATTTTTCGATAAACTTTTGATAAATTGAAATCAATTAATATTTTGTTCCAATTAAAATTCATCATTGAGATTTCACTTCTAATGAAATGCGAAATTAATGAGTTCTACCATGTATTTTTTTGTTTTGTTATTAAGCTGTTACTCATCAAAGTCGATAATGCAATTTGGGTAATTAAATACTTGAAGTTAGACAAACGACGTCTGTGTCAAAAATTTTATTTTTTTGTATTTTAGTTAAATTTATATTTTTTATATCGTCAGCGAAAATGAATTTCACCTAGAAATTAAACTTGGAAACATGAGGCAAATATTCCCTTAAAAGGTTCACGATTTTGGTGATCAAATTTATTTACTCAGGGAAAATGCAGCAATATGGGAAATATATATTGGCACAAGATTTTGCTCTAGAATTTACCCTAAAAACTAGTTGGGGTAAAAGAAACAAGAGATTTCGAAAAAATTACAATTTGAAGAAATTGAATGATTTTAAAACCAAATTTGATATTTTTTGGCAACAAATTGTATGCATATATATCAAGATTTTTTTGCTAAAATTTATCTGTATATATTTGCTGAATGAAAAAAATATATTTTTTCGAATTACTAATCCAACGATAATATTTTGCAATTCTCGTAATAAACGTAATTCTCGCAGTCATTTGTAACTTGACGCCGGAAGTTTTGTAAAATAATTTTGCAAAGTTTTACACTATAAAACGACGCTCTTGATCTGAGTAAGTTTACAGAAATTTGGAAGCTAGTTTTCCTAAGAAATATTTGTAAAATTTTGTAAACGTTTGTAAAAGTTTACGGATTTTAAAAGGTGACCAAGGACTGCGTGAACTGTGTCATTGTTGAACTTACAATGCAGGTTTTTTTCATGTAAAACTGGGATTTGAACGAGACATATACCAAAAAATCAGTCTACAAATCACAAGACACGTTTCTTTTGGAACTTTTTCCAATACTCAAGCGTTGACGTGCTATTACGTCACGAAGTGACGAAAAATGTGACGGCCCCTCCTATGCGAGTCGCGCTGACTCCCGTCCCACCGCTTCTCCAGAAATGACCTCTCACTCACTCTCGCCATATTTTCTCTCACTCACTTTTTTTACTTCCTCATTCGTTCACTACTATAATTTTATTTCTTGTAAAATGGACAGCATTAATTTTTTATCAGTTGCCAATGCTCTCGTTAAAATTATTAAAAATACATATTCATATGACGAAACACCACCTAATATTGAAGAGGAAGAATTGGCACAATTACTGCTTGAAAAATTACACGACATAACTCACGAATTTATATTCATCGATGAAAATGAAAATGGTAAGGTGTCTTGCTTTATTTTGTATATATAAAGTGTTTTAATAGTGTGTCAAAATATATTTAGGCGACGGACCAAGTGAGGACGATACGTTCCAACCATATACTGACCAAGAAGGAAATTATATACTACCATCTGAAGTTTCAATGGAATATAAAAAACGGGCAGTTGAAGAATTTGAAAGACATCCGGGGTGGAAATTCTTGACATTCCAACAAAATTTCAGCAAAGTACGTCAACCCAACTATATAAACCGATGGAAAAAGCAAATTGAGATGGGTGGGACGAAATACGAATTATTCATAGAAATCGAAAACTATGTTTATCAACAATTTAAGTTATGTAGGGAACAATATCTCCCTGTTCACGATATGGATTTGAAGAAGTGGGCGATACTCAAAGCGTCAGAATTTAACGGATTAATGTTTAAGGCGTCTCATTCGTGGCTTAACACATTCAAGCGACGTAACAGAATTGTTTCACGAAAAATTCAAAAACTTGTGAGCTTCCGTGCTGTAAAGGAAGTTGAGGACATACAACAGGATGCTGAAGATTTCCGTGCGCAGATTGTTCCACTACTCAAGAACTTTGCATACAACAAAATATTTAATACAGACCAAACAGGCTTCCGATATGAAATGGTATCAGCTAGAACACTATCGACACAAGGGGAGAGATATACATTTGGTTCTTGTTCGTCGCCAAAAAACAAATGCACCCACAGTTACACAGTTCAATATGTTATAACATATGCCGGAGATATCCTTGACCCTGTATTCATATGTCTGCAAGAAAACGATGGCACATTTGGACCAAGAGTGCTGGATACGATGTTTATTGCTCCAAATATTTATGTGACCTGCACAAAATCTGGGAAACTGAATCGAAGTAAGGTGGAAGAATTTCTGGATGAAATAATCGTCAATAATCGGAATGGAAATTTACTTTATGTAGATATGTGGACAGGCCAAACAGACAGAAGACTTTACACATCTCGATGCACCGATGATCTTAATATGGATGTCAGATTTATTCCCGAACACTGTACCGATGTTTGCCAACCGCTAGATACCTATTTCCACCGACAGCTGAAGTACTTGGCCAGACAGTTTTATTCTTTTGAAAGCGTGCACGCTAAAACTCCAACACCACAACTTCTGACTAGAGACGGCTTGTTGAAAATGCAATCTCTTGTACATTATTTATTATCGGCCCCCGTATTTCGAAATATGATCAAGTACTGTTGGTTTTCGAGTGGGATCTGGGACGGAGAAGATAGACCAGTTTTTCGCAATGTTAAGGAAGTGTGCTTCAACTTTCATAATGATATGAAATGTTCTTCAAATGATTGTACTAATATGGCATTTATTTCATGCAGCTGGTGTAATAGTGTTCTTTGTTTTGATGAATTTTTTTATGATTATCATTTAATGTACTGTCCAGCTGGACCCTACACCTAAATAAACTTATTTAGAAAATATTAAAAAATGTACTAAATTACTTTAACTATAATGTATTTTAAATATTAAGCTGGGGGAGTAAAATGAGTGAGAGAAAATATGGCGAGAGTGAGTGAGAGGTCATTTCTGGAGAAGCGGTGGGACGGGAGTCAGCGCGACTCGCATAGGAGGGGCCGTCACATTTTTCGTCACTTCGTGACGTAATAGCACGTCAACGCTTGAGTATTGGAAAAAGTTCCAAAAGAAACGTGTCTTGTGATTTGTAGACTGATTTTTTGGTATATGTCTCGTTCAAATCCCAGTTTTACATGAAAAAAACCTGCATTGTTAGAATAATTTTGTAATTTGCATGTATAAAAATAATACAAATTTCAAATTTAGATGTCGGCAGGGAGTTCAAAATTTACTTTACAAGTTTACAGAATTTCGGGAGTTTACAATGTTATCAAGGGCTGCATGAAGTGCCTCATTATAAAATTGTTACCTATCAAAGTCGATAATTTCATTGGAGCCGTTGAGTGTTTTTAAAATTCTTTTTATTTGATACACTTCCTTGACCAAAATTGCATTTTTTGCATCGAAGTACACTCAAAATAAAAATTTGTCGAATCAACACCGCCGGTGTCAATATATGACTTAGCCGCCTTGGTTACAATGTCGAATCTGAGTTTTGATGATTTTGATACCGGTTATAATGTTATGACCGGACGGAAAAAATTCATTACTACTCGGAATCACAATTGTAACCAAGGCGGTTAAGTCATATATTGACACCGTTTTGTTTTGAGTGTATTTATTCTAATTAGCTCCCTGAAACAAGGCCTCGAATCCAGATTAAACTTGGTGGATTTCAGAAACTTTGAAGTTTGGCAAATATTCACGAACATGCAGTTTTTTGGACGTCAAAAACTACTTTAGGACAATGACAAAAACGTCCAAAAGAAATCGAATTGAATAGTTACGACGACAAATTGCGAATCTTTGACGATGTTTATTTCATAAACCAAATATGCTTTAGGTAAATTTTCTTCAAAAAATATTTAACTCATAACTCATGTTCACTGAAGTTGTAAAATTTGCCCGATTTTAGAAAATCCTCATTTTGTAAATCGATTAATTTTCGTTCTCAAATACACTCATTTTATTTATTTGCAACAATATTTTTGCAAAGATATGACTTGCAAACATATCTAATTTCAAACGAATAATTTCCCTAGCTGAGTTTAACAAGTTTTGTGAACTATTTTCATCAAAATCAAATAAATATACTTTTATCTCGTCGTTTTACTTTCTTGAAACGAGTCCAGATTTTACAGGGATCGCAGTAACAGATACATTACGATATTCTATTGAAATTTCATGTTTATGAATAAAGTAAAGGAATGCATTTCTTTTATTCAGGAAAATTTACACCAGAAGAAGAATTCACCTAAATATATATAATTTCGCGTAGTTGAATTTTCCAAAAAATCTAATACGGCGCACAAACCGGCAATTTTTATTGCCGGTCAGTGTGAAATAATCCCTGGGCATCCTCACGACAACGTCTTATTTCGCATCGCAACTCATTTAGTAAACTTGCGAAGATAAAAATATTTCTGTCGTGAGGGGATTCGCAAAATATTACTTCGCAAATCTCTCCAATCTCGCAAATCTACTTAAAACACCTGTTTTGATGCTGTCTCCATGGGTTTCTGTAATTTCTCTAGTTGGTTAGGTGAGGATGAATTTGCGAAATAAGAACATGCCCAATTGCTGGGTAAATTTTAGAAAAAAATCCCATGGTTTTTCCAGCAAAATATTTGCGAAATCTCGAATATCTCGCAAAACTTCGCAAGTTATGTTGCTTTGCTCCATTTGCGAGATATGCGAGGGTTGACGTTTTAGTTAGTACTCTCACTGTATTTCCAGTTCCTATTTTTCGGTTAAATTTTACTGCTTGTAATTTAACGTTGACTTCAACCTAAATATTCACTAATTACATTTTTAAATATTACAAAATGTTAAATTTGGCTTATAACTTACTCAATTTTTCAAATTTTACAAATTGTAAATTTGTTTTTTACACCCTTCGTCTTTGCTACCTCAACAAATTTGGGTTCAGTACCCATTCCATTTTTATCCATTTATTCACACGATTTAATATCAATAAATTTGAAGCATGAAAAGTAAAAAAATTATTCAAGAAATAAAAATCGAGGTTTATTATTATTTTGCAAAATACATAGATTCAAATCAAGGATTACACCTACATAAAATCTTAATCCCTCCTCGACTAAGTTTCGAAAATTTCGAAAAAAAACATGAACCCCACAAAAAAATGCCAACAATTCTGCAAAATTTAATTTCTCATGATTTTATAATTCGGGGGGTGTGTCAGAAAGTGTAAAGTTTTCTGCTGGGAAAAACATGATGCAATTTTGCTTAACAAAATTCTCAAAATTTTGAAGTAAAAACATCAACCCCAAATAATTCGAAAAAATCACAACGCTTCACAAAAGTCGATTTCTCATCATATTTTTTGATTGATTCCTTTCATGCATGGCGTATAATTTTAATTTGGTGTCATAACTATTCAACTCGGTATAAGTAAAATTCTTACGCTACTAAAATACTAAATAGCTTCTATACTTGTCTACGCTATGTGCAGTCAATCCAAAGTACATTTTTGCAAAAATATTGTTGCAAATAAGCAATATTTGAGAGCGAAAATTAAATTTTCAGTGTGTAGTTTCCTCAAAAATTCAAAATTTAGTGTCATAACTATTCAATTCGATATAAAATTGTTTAGACACTTTTGTACTATGTATGTGTACTCAAAAAGTAGTTTTGAACGTCTAAAACAAAACTAAATTTAAGCAAATTCTTCTTCTGGATTAAGTTTTCCTAAATGGAGGAAATACATTCCTTTATAAATATTTCTATTGAAATTTCTATTGAAAATCGTAATTTATTAATTTATTAATCGTAATAACTTGGAAAAATTAGATATATTTGCTAAGTCATATATTTGTAAAAATATTGTTCCAAATAGTTAAATAAGCATACTTGAGAACGAAAATAGTAGATTTTGCGAGCCCGAAGGGCGAAGCAAAATCTTTATTTTGTGAGTCTTCCGAACCGGAAGACATCACAAGTATAGTTGTAGTTGTTGGACCAGGTACTGGGGAAACTCGAGACTTTTGCCATTTAAAGCTTACCACTAAATCCAAAATACATCATACCCTGCACGCACGCCGCTGGATCCCTCATAGTTGAAAGCCCGAAATCGATGCTAAATTATAAAAGTGGATGGGTTGGGTGGGTTGTGATGTCTTCCGGTTCGGAAGACTCACAAAATAAAGATTTTGCTTCGCCCTTCGGGCTCGCAAAATCTACTATTTTATTTCGTCTTCCTTCACCGTTCTACATCACAAGTATAGTTGTAGATTTCAAAGCTGCATCGATGAAGGGAAAATATGAACATAAAACAGATGTACGATTTCTATTAAATTTTGTATTATAATTCTTAGACAATCATCAATCAGTACAATTAATCAATTAGCAATTATTCAGTTATTTACTAAAATAAATTTTCAATGAATCGCATTCATCATTAATTAAGTAATTAATTAAATATTTCTTAAATTACATTGATGCACACTACATTTAACTTATTGACAAAACAGTATCAGCATATTTGGTAACATCATCAATAGGGCGGTTATAAAACTTTGCAAATGTCTGTGATCCTTTCGCCCATCCTACTCGTTTAATAATAGTATCCATATTTACACCGAATTGAGAGGCTTTAGAAGTTGATGCATGTCTAAAGCTATGGGCGTGAAATATGCCCACATCTATACCTGCTAATTTTAACACATTTACTAACCATCGGCTTAAAGTTTGTGATGATGCCGCATTGTGAGGCTTGGTTGTTGTAATAAAAATATTATCTGAATTTCGGATCAATTTTGTTAACTCTACATAATTCCTTAAAGTTTGGGCTGGACAAATTTGAGCATCATGATATGATGGTAACACTAAAACAGAATTAGATCTAGTCACAGTTGTGGTCTTAAGAACAGAAGTCAGCTTAATTTGAATTGGACTCCCCCAAACAATGTCACATAACTTAATCGATGACAGGGTTTGAACTCTCTGACCAGTAGCTAAAGCTAGCAATGCCACAAGTTTTAGACTTAATTTATTCAAGTCGCATGTATCCAGTTCCCAGGATTTTAATAATTGTAAAACTATGTCGGGATTCTAAGTGATTGAGTATCTCGGCGCAGCAGGTCGAAGGCGACTAACTCCTTTCATGAAACTAACAATCAATTTATGCTGTCCAATACTTACTCCATCAATATCACTCAAAATACTAGATAATGCGGACCTACATGTATTTACAGACGAGTAACTATGCCCTTTCTCAAACAAATCTGTTAAAAATACCAAGTAATGATTTAAGTTACTATCCCATACAGACCAATTCTTTTCATCACAAAAATCACTCCATTTTTTAAATGCACTTTGGTATTGCTGCCAGGTTCCTCTTGACTTTGATGCTGACATTATTGAAATTGTTGAATCTGGTAATTGGAATCTTGACAATGTTTTCCTGACAAAATCGCCACCATTAATTTGAGACTTTTGTTTATTTGATGATATTCCCTGGAATAAGGACTTAATAGTAATTTATTATTCGGTCCAAAAAATAAAATTTCAGTAATAGCAAGTTTCTGAAATAATGGATACCAAGATTGAGTTGTCCAGTACGGGGCAACAATAATACCCTCAACCTTATCATTTAATATTTTGTTTAAAGTTTTTCCAATTAAATTTAGAGGGGGAAAAGCGTAAAATTTGCAGTCCCAATTTTGCGTGAACGCATCAATGCCCTCTGACATGGGATCTGCTTTCCAAGAAAAATATCTATCACATTGCTTGGTCTGATAAGTAGCAAATAAATCGATTTCAGGAATTCCAAATTTCCTACAAATAACTGAAAAATAGGACGG